ACTTCTAAACAGTATTTTCGGTTTTTCTTGAAAACGCCACCTCCTATCGACTTTGGACAAGAGGGCCTTTTCTGGGTAAAATTGAATGCTCTTTCATATTTTTCGAAAACATTTGCAAAATATCAAATCGGCTATACTTTTTTTTATAAAAATATGAATAGAGACCCCTCTACCTCCACCACTGGAACTAATATGCGATGATTTTCTGTGTCAAATTATTTGCCCTCAAATACTAAGTCTTTCGCCGCAACATGATGATTTTTTTTGTCAGCGGTTATTTAGTTAAAAAATAAATAAATAAAACAAAAATAAAATTGAACGCCCTGTATTTCAAAAACGAAGCGTTTTAGGACCTATATCTATAGAAACTTTTAGACTCAAAATGAGGTCTTTTGATTCCTGAAGTCCTGCTATTTAAATGTGAGACACCCTGTACAAACAAGGTATTTCTATTCACATTTAAACAGTCGACAGAGGATGGTTCTCGAAATGGATTTGGTTAAAAAAAATTGAGACACATACACATTAACACCCTATATTTTTGCGCAAGTCTGTTGATTCAAATGAATTGTTTTTACAGAAAAAATAATAATAATAATAATATTTATTTATTTGTCCAACTGAATAAGTACTTCCACTTACAGAACAAAGTAAAAAACAACAGAAACTAATAATACTACAGATAAAAATAAAATATTAATATAATAACTGGACTAAATAAATAATACCGAAATATAGATTAGAAAGAAACAAATACATGCATAAATTACAGTAGCATATCGGTACAATACAATTATTTTAAAAATTATGTAATAGTACACCAAAACTACAATTGAAAATATCACATATATGACATACAGAGTTATATTTACTGCACATAACAGAGGTGATTTCAATAAAATATTACATGTCACACGATTATTAATTCTCGGCATAAGAAAGTTAATTTGAGCAAGCCATCAGGACCACAAGTAATTTTATTTTTTAACTTACGAATTGACAGTTTCCGTAAAAAGCGAAATGTTTAAGTTAGGCAAGTTAATATCTATTATCGGATTATTATTGTAGCAGAAGACACATTGGGCTGAAGAAAAACACTACTAAAATAATCACTGAATGCATTAACTATGGCTTGCGGTTTGTTTAACTCCAAATTGTTATAATGCATTCTACCAGGGATTCTCGTATGATCTCTTTTATTATTGACAAATGTCCAAAAAGTTTTTGGGTTATTCTTTATTGAATTGCCGCATTCGGATACGTAGTTTTTGTAGTCTCTAATGGCAAGTGATTTAGATACCGCTCTTTTTTCTTTAAAAATGTTTCAGTTTTGCATAAATACGGCTAATTTTCCATTACTTATATTCCCAGCAGTCCACCATTGTGGAACATTTATATCATAGCTTCAATAGAAACATATTTAATAAAATTTTAAAAACACAATAAAAATAAATGTTTGCAAAGAATCAAAGAATATGAAGGATTAAAACATACAGGGTGATCCAGAACTTATCCAAAAAAAAAATGTACAGGGGACCCTTACAAATACAATTTTGTAAAGAAAAAATCAAAAAGGTCAGTTCGAAATTGATTTAAAAATATACTTCTGCACGGCACTGGAAACTGGTCCACTGTAAAACNAAGAAACAAATACATGCATAAATTACAGTAGCATATCGGTACAACACAATTATTTTAAAAATTATGTAATAGTACACCAAAACTACAATTGAAAATACCACATATATGACATACAGAGTTATAGTTGCTGAATATAACAGAGGTGGTTTCAATAAAATATTACATGTCACACGATTATTAATTCTCGGCACAAGAAAGTTAATTTGAAAAAGCCATCAGGACCACAAGTAATTTTATTTTTTAACTAACGAATTGACACTTTCCGTAAAAAGCGAAATGTTTAAGTTAGGCAAGTTAATATCTATTATCGGATTATTATTGATAGCAGAAGACACATTGGGCTGAAGAAAAACACTACTAAAATAATCACTGAATGCATTAACTATAGCTTGCGGTTTGTTTAACACCAAATTGTTGTAATGCATTCTACCAGGGATTCTCGTATGATCTCTTTTATTATTGACAAATGTCCAAAAAGTTTTTGGGTTATTCTTTATTGAATTGCCGCATTCGGATACGTAGTTTCTGTAGTCTCTAATGGCAAGTGATTTAGATACCGCTCTTTTTTCTTTAAAAATGTTTAAGTTTTGCATAAATACGGCTAATTTTCCATTACTTATATTCCCAGCAGTCCACCATTGTGGAACATTTATATCATAGCTTCAATAGAAACATATTTAATAAAATTTTAAAAACACAATAAAAATAAATGTTTGCAAAGAATCAAAGAATATGAAGGATTAAAACATACAGGGTGATCCAGAACTTATCCAAAAAAAAAATGTACAGGGGACCCTTACAAATACAATTTTGTAAAGAAAAAATCAAAAAGGTCAGTTCGAAATTGATTTAAAAATATACTTCTGCACGGCACTGGAAACTGGTCCACTGTAAAACTTGAGCTCGCACAATGCGACCGGTATGGCGGCGTGATAAAACCAGACAGAAACTTTCGTAAGGAAAGAAATATGTAAATAGAATTTTTTCGCACCTATTCTATATCGGCAAATTCAAATACTTTTGCCTTTATTAATTATTAATAAAATTAATTTGTGTTTTTAAATAATAAGATCATTTGACATACCCGATGCTGCAACAGCAATTGTTCAAAATTTTATCCACTCACGTGTAAACACATTTGGGTCCGTCTTACTCACTTTCTACGAACTAACACAAATGATGTCTTGCTTCACCATAACACAAATACTTCACCATAATACAAATGTTGTCTTGCTTCACCATAAATTAAAACGATATCCATCAACTCTGAGTTGCTATACACGCAAGCCATTTTTGACACTAACTACTAAAAAACTGATGTAAATACCACAGATAACAGGTAAAAACTACCGCAATGACGGATTTCAGTATTAGGAGTCACATGGCTCTCCACGCGTATTGCGAATGACGCTGGAGACTACAGTTGTCCAGATATGTAGTGGTTTAATGTGCTATAACTTCAATAATTTTTTTCTCAGAAACTATAAGGATTTTACAAAAAATTTTTTTACAATATTGACTCCATTTCTCATGCCGCATCTATTCCTAATTTTTTTTGGATAAGTTGTGAATCACCCTGTATATACTTTTATTACTCTTGACTGCTTTTCAAGATATTGTCATCTTTTATACGAGCTTATAGATTCTTTAAACAGTTATATTGTGTTTCTGATATTTTATACATACATTTTAGAGTAAAAATCAATTGAATTCCAAAGATATTGCCATAATAGATAGCTAATTTTTTAAATGATTTATTTCAAATAATGATGTTTTTGTTTCAGGGCAAAAATATGTTATGTATGAGCTCAAAACATGTATTATTAAATTTTTAATGCATTTCGAACTCATACCCGATCCGGATTTTAGACCAGATATTGGAATGTCTTCAGTTTTAAAATCTAAGAATGGCATTAGAATGAAATTAAAATTAAGAAAACATTAGAGGTAAGTTAATAAATTTAAAACTGGACATTATTTTTAATCGCATTCGTTATAAAATTTAAAGAAATATATCCAGTTTGTTCTATTCAAAGATCAACCGGATTATTTTTTAAGGATACTTGAAGACATTTTGTTGGTTCCAAATTGGGATAATTACAGTTTGGAATTTTTTACTGGAAATTCAGCAGATGGTACATAACCTTTATGTTACAGTGTACCTACTTATGGATAGCATATTTCAATTTATTGGATATCTTATAGGTATTATTTCTTGTGTTCTTATTCGGGCAAGTAGAATTAGGTATTAACAACTCTGTTGAATTTTGTCTTACTTAACAATTTCTTTAAATAAACAAATTTCAAATGCAAATAACTTCCGCTTTGAAGTATGTTTTACATTGTTTTAGGTTTTTAAGTAATGACTATATGTGCTAATATAAATATTTACAGTATGTACGTTTACTTCATGTTATAATAAACTTATGTCGCAATAATAGTTATATTATTTACGTAATAATTAACACATATTATTTATTACTCAGAGTAGAATAGTGTCAATGGCTTTTATATTTTTGCCGCTAAAATAATCCGAAGCTCACTTTGAAGTGTAGCTAAAGTAGGTCAAAGATCTCGGTTACATAGACAGAATAGATGGAATTTTCACATGTAAACATATAAGTTTATTAAGAATACTGCTAATTTCGCACAGCTGTCATCCAATTTTAGCTCCCAGTGTAAGCATAATTTTTTATTTTAAACTAATCTTTCTCAAACCGCAATATTTCGGTTTGAGTGCTGTCCTCAACGATGTGCCGCAATTTAGTGTTGGTTCCGGAAATAATAAAAAAATAAACTGGTTGTGTTAGGCATAGGTATGCCGGGCATTGAAGATGCCATTGGAGATAACTGTACATTTGTCTACTTACAATTAATTATCAGGGTCTGGCTGTCGTTAGTGTAAGATTTGTTATTTTTCGTAAGGAGAAATAAAGGATTGAAAGAGGTAAGAAGGGTAGAAATCGGTTGTCGATTATTACGTTGAAAACATGTGAATATTTGTTATTTATCTTGCGGGCCAATCAATTGTGCAGATTTAGCACCTCAATTCATAACAGCAATTCCTCAACAGTTACTAACACAAAATAATCCGTCATATAACAACTCTTATTGTTACTCAAATTACATTTTACTTTATTGGGTATATCCTGAAATATGACTACTAATCTATGCAAAAGACACTTAATTATTTCTTCAAAATAATATGCAATCTAATTATTAACGATGCTCGCAAATCAAATATCTAACTTCTCAATAAGATTGACAACGTAAATTTATATAACATCTCTAACAATTATTATTTTCAAGATGATATGACAATATTCAAGATACAGTTATGCCTGCGATGAAACTATCAATATTAAATAAGAATATTCAGTAAGTAAACTGTGAATAAACCACTAATCCAAATAAATAGGTATGCTCAGTGAAACAAACTTACAAGTTATATGAATAAGCTATAATAGATAGGTATGCCCAGTGAGAAAACTCACATTCTATGTACAGGGTGACCCATTAAGAATGGAAACACTCGCGTACAAAAGTTGTTTATGGACCGATTTGAACCGGTATTTTTTTTAAAGATAGATCTCCAAAAGCTCTATCTTGATGCAAAATTTGAAGACGAAATTTTGATTTTCAAGGCCTATTACGAATTTTTTTTTTAGGTGAAAAATAGCAAAATTTTGTTAGCGATTTTTTTATAAAAAATCTGACTACACTACTGGATTTAGGAACCCCTCAAATGTATTTGTACCAATTTTTGCAAAAAAAAGTTTGCCCGTAAAAAAGTTATGACAATATCGGCATCACCAGTGTTTGCCGTTGTCGGTGAACATATTCTTTTAAATAAAAACCCATAAAACCCATAGGGAAACAAAATTAAATAACAAACACTGGTTTAATAATTATTAATAAGAATCATAAAAACCAGTATACACAAAATAAACAACAATTACTCTAATATAAACAACAATTGATAAAAAAAAGTAATGATTAAAAGATTACATTTTTAAAAATGAAAAAGGAGTCTGTCAAATTGATGTACACTAATAACGTCATTAAATTTAAACTTTTATAGCTTCCACTATTCCTCCGTTTAATTCTATACATTTTTCATAACGTTTTTTTATATTTTTTACATTTCGTAATTGATGCGCGTTAATCTCCTCACACGCTCCCTTATTCTAGTGCCCAATACCTCCCGGTTAATTGGCCGTATCTTATATACTTTGGACTTAACAAAGCCCCACAGAAAAATATCAAGTGGGGTAAGGTCCGGAGATTGGGGTGGCCAATGAATTAATCGACTGTTTCGACCTATCCAATGATTGGGGAAATTCTCGTTAAGCCACTCCCTGACTTATTTCGCATTGTGTATTGGACATCCATCCAACTGAAAATGTAGATTTACTCTTTCTTGTAATGGAAGATTATCGACTGTATTAAAAAATTCGTTCTGAAGGAAATGTAAAAATTGTTCGCCATTCATATTCCCTTCAAAGAGGAACGGACCAATGACTCTCTCGTTAAGTATCCCACACCAAACGTTAACTTTCTGACTATATTGTCTTCGGCAATTAATTATCCACTCTGGATTTTCTGAAACCCAACACCGCGAGTTCTGTGATGATACAATTCCATTAGTCGTGAATGTGGCCTCATCGCTGAATAAGATATTTTTTAAAAGAAATCGGTAATTGAGATATTGTCCCTGTGCCCAGAGACAAAACTCCATTCGTTTCTCATTATCGCCTGGTTCCAGAGTGTGAAGAAACTTAGGTTTATAGGGTTTTATGTTATTTTTTTTTAGGCAGCGTCGGATACTATCTCTAGGTAAATTTAAATCTAAACTAGCAATCCTGAGGCTATTCTGAGGATTGTTTGTAAAATAATTTAAAATTTCCTGCTCGTGAATACGTCTTCTCTGTTGATTGTCCCTTTTTAAAATGCATTTTGATACAGCACCATATTCCATAAAAGTATTGTTTATTTTAAAAACTGTGCTATGCGTAATATTAGGTCTATCTGGATGTCTGTTGTTAAAAATTATACACACCTCTCTTGCCGTCCGATCATTTTCTCCAGAAAGGCGTACTATTTCAATTTTCTCATAATATTACAATGTGCCACTACTTGTGAAATTTGACATTTGTTGTCTAAACTTCTATTTTTCACAGCCTACCAAATTTTGTTCATATTATTTTTAAGCAACGTTATTTTCTTGCCATCTCGTAATATTTTTTTCAGAAAATTCTTCACAAAAAATTGGATTATGGTTGTAGAATCCAGTGGCTTTTTGAATAAAAAAATTATAAATGTAATTATTTTTGTCTAAGAAGGTAATATTTGTAAGTTTTGGCATAATAACCACGAAATAATAATAATTTGACGAACTTGTTTATTTTACGTATACTAGTTTTTATGTTTCTTAATAATAATGATTAAACCAGTGTTTGTTATTTAATTTTGTTTCCATTTAAAAGAATAGGTTCACCAACAACGGCAAACACTGGTGATGCCGATATTGTCATAACTTTTTTAGGGGAAACTTTTTTTCGCAAAAATTGGTACGAATGCATTTGAGGGGTTCCTAAATCCAGTGGTGTAGTCAGATTTTTTATAAAAAAATCGCTAACAAAATTTTGCTATTTTTCACTTAAAAAAAAATCGTAGTAGGCCTTGAAAATTAAAATTTCGTCTTCAAATATTGCATCGAGATAGAGCTTTTGGAGATCTATCTTTTAAAAAAAACCCGGATCAAATCGGTCCATAAACAACTGTTGTACGCGAGTGTTTCCATTCTTAATGGGTCACCCTGTATATGAATAAGCCATTGCTTCTAATAAATAGGTGTGCTCAGTGAGAAAACTCATCTAATATCCTATATTCAATTGAGGCACAATTCACAATATTTTCACAGCATAGTCAACGTAAAAGTGATCTCTTTTCAAAGTTTAGGTAAAGGGTCTGTTTGAAATTTATAATCTAAACAAAGCCATTGGGCGTTCACTGGCCACTTGAGCCTTTTTATAAGTACTAGATGCTGTACCGGCCGGGGCAAATACGTGCCTTCTTTCTAACTTAAAACTCGTAATATTTAAAATAGGGTCGTAATACAGGGTGTAAAAAAATATTATCTTACATTAGGAACGATCTTCATTCACGTCTTAAGATAAGCTCAGACCCTTTTCCGGAAATAAAAAGAAACAACACATGATTATCCAAGTAAAACCTCACCTTAAGCATAACTTTTACAACTTAAATCAATCAATCAATCGTTTCATTTCTCAAATTGCTGCAGCTGGCTCTATTCAAAACATCTTTTTCTAATATTGCCAAATCATTCAACTATTTATCAATCATAGGCACAACCAAAATTGGCTGAATCACTGTAACACTGACAATGAGATAGTTCGTCGCCGGACACATCCGTACCGAAGCCAAACTATGTCACCGCAGCTAATAGTCCCCGAGATATCCTCCGTGTCAACGCAGCTAACGGACGGACTGTATCACACGCAGCTAACAGCCTTAGGGCATCCCATACCTCAGAACTAGACCGTATCACCACAGCTAATGGGCCTCCATAACAACTCACAATAATAGGTATGCCTGATCAGCAAGATATACATTTAGACAGTACAGAAAAGTCAATTAACAATTAGTAAGCATGCTAAAATACTCAGAGATGACTCACCATATAATTCACAAATGCAAGAACTTCAGTTAACACTCAATTGTAAAAAGCACACACACACTCTTCACGTTCTTTTATAAAAATAAGGTCGATCACAATATAAAAATCGTATTATGGTTCGACTGAAAGCACAGAAGAACGCATCCATCCATGGGTACACAAAAAAAGAACTAGTTCACGTTTATTTTCGGTATGGTTAGTGCCGTTTTGTATGCTCTCGGGCCTATGCAGTGGTGTAACGAACACTCTCTCCTCGCGCTATTGCTTGTTCTTTAGAAGAAGTAACCAGGTTCTACTCATCCGAAAGCGTAATGTTATTTAAATGTTGTTTTTCCAATATCCTTCTGTCTCGACAGGTTATAAAACCCTGTGGTTCTCACAAGTACTTCGATGTCCTTGAAATTTATTGTAAAACCCTCATCTAAGGCATTTTGCCTGATGGTTAATTTATCATGCTAATTGAGCGTTAAGGTCTTTTCACAAATATATAGGGATGAGAAAAAAAGAGGAATATATGGTCACAACGTTTCTGCCATACAGGGATGTACTGATGGTACTGAAGAAATGTCGCATCTTGGACAAACACAATCTCAAGGAAGATAGAAATAGCTTTTTCCAAGACAAAATGTAAAAATTATCTATTATGTAGGGTGTGTTCATTACGTGCATGCCGGTCTGGCCAGATATTTCTTTCGCATAGACTAAGTAAATTACACGCATCTCCCCTATC